TTTAGATCTTCGTCATTATTTTCATGGAAACTAGAAGGACACACCTTTACAAAGCAATCTTTCTTAGCACGCAATCTAGCGGTTCTTTCTTTGCATTCATCAATGGAAATTCTCATAGCTTTGAGAGACTCATTGATATCATGCTTAGGAGGAGTAGATCTAAGTTTCAAAGAATCAACTTCAAGCGAAAGTCTATCAATGTCCTTAGCCAAATCATCAACTTTAAGCAATTTTTCTTCAAGCAAAGCATTGAAATTCTTTTGAGAGATCATAAATTATTTAACGCTATTCTCAAAATCAGAGGGCATCTTGTTAAAATTACCATAAGAATTATTGTAGGAATTTCCATAATTATTAGAGGAATTACTAGGGAACGGTCTAGCATTAAAATTTCCTCTATAAGCGTTGTTACCAAAATTATTCCTACCAACAAAATTCACATCCATAGATTCATTATTATTCTCAATCAAAGTAGACAAAGGCATATCATTGGGATCAATAGGAGCACTCTTAGTAGCAACAATTTCATAAGTTCATCCATCTTTCCACTCAAAACACTAATTTCTTCTATAGCATGCACCTTTTTACTAGTAGATCTTTCGGTGTGCCATTGAGAATAATTAGCCATAATATTATCGAGGAGTTTAATAGTTTCTCCTAAGGTGATTTCCATAAGCGTGCCTCCCGCGGCCGAATCTAAAAGATTTCTAGAAGCAAAATTCAAGCCGGCATAAAAAATTTGTATGATCATCCATAAATTTAAACCATGAGTAGGGCAATTGCGAATCATCAATTTCATTCTTTCCCAAGATTGGGCAACATGCTCATGATCAAGTTGTTTAAAATTCATAATATCGTTCCTAAGAGGGATGATCTTAGCGGGAGGAAAATACTTAGAGATAAAAGCATCTTTGCACTTATTCCATGAATCAATACTATTCTTAGGCAAAGACGAAAACCAAACTTTAGCACGATCTCTAAGTGAAAACGGAAATAACTTCAATTTAACAATATCATTATCCGTATCTTTCTTCTTTTGCATCTCACACAAATCAACAAAGTTGTTTAGATGGGTAGCGGCATCTTCACTAGGAAGGCCGGAGAATTGATCTTTCATAACAAGATTCAGCAAAGCAGCATTGATTTCACAAGACCCAACATCATTAAGAGGAGCAACCGGAGTACTAAGGAAATCATTATTATTGGTAATGGAAAAGTCACACAATTTGGTATTGTCTTGCGCCATCGCGACAAGCAATCCAACACACAAGCAAACAAAAAGGCAAGCAAAAGAGAGAGGATATTGGGAAAGAGAGAGCGAATAAAACGGCAAGGGTGAAGTGGGGGAGAGAAAAACGAGAGGCAAATGGCAAATAAAGAAAATGCGAGGGAGATGAGTTTGTGATGGGTACTTGGTATGTCTTGACTCGAGCAAAGACCTCCCCGGCAACGGCGCCAGAAATCCTTCTTGCTACGTCTTGAGCTTGCGTTGGTTTTCCTTGAAGAGGAAAGGGTGATGCAATAATAGTAGCATAAGTATTTCCCTCAATTTTTGAGAACCAAGGTATCAATCCAGTAGGAGGCTCCTGAGAAGTCCCACGCACCTACATAAACAAACAAGAACTCGCAAACAACGCAATAAAGGGGTTGTCAACCCTCCACTTGCGAAAGTGAGATCTGATAGAGATAATATGATAAGATAAATATATTTTTTGGTATTTTATGATATAGATTGAAAAAGTAAAGATGCAAATAAAAGTAGATTGAAAGCTTATATGATAAAAGATAGACCTGGCGGACATAGGTTTCACTAGTGGCTTCTCTCAAGATAGCATAAGTATTACGGTGGGTGAACAAATTACTGTCGAGCAATTGATAGAAAAATGAATAATTATGAGATTATCTAGGCATGATCATGTATATAGGCATCACGTCCGTGACAAGTAGACCGACTCCTGCCTGCATCTACTACTATTACTCCACACATCGACCGCTATCCAGCATGCATCTAGAGTATTAAGTTCATAAAGAACAGAATAATGCATTAAGAAAGATGGCATGATGTAGAGGGATAAACTCATGCAGTATGATATAAACCCCATCTTTTTATCCTCGATGACAACAATACAATACATGCCTGGCTGCCCCTGCTGTCAGAGTAATGCATCTAGAGTATTAAGTTCATAAAGAACAGAGTAATGCATTAAGAAAGATGACATGATGTAGAGGGATAAACTCATGCAGTATGATATAAACCCCATCTTTTTATCCTCGATGACAACAATACAATACGTGCCTGGCTGCCCCTGCTGTCACTGGGAAAGGACATCGCAAGATTGAACCCAAAGCTAAGCACTTCTCCTATTGCAAGAAAGATCAATCTAGTAGGCCAAATCAAACTGATAATTCGAAGAGACTTGCAAAAATAACTTAATCACACATAAAAGAATGCAGAGGAGATTCAAATATTTCTCATAGATAAACTTGATCATAAACCCACAATTCATCGGATCTCGACAAACACACCAAAAAAAGAGTTACATCGAATAGATCTCCAAGAAGATCAAGGAGAACTTTGTATTGAGATTCAAAGAGAGAGAAGAAGCCATCTAGCTTATAACTATGAACCGAAAGGTCTGTGGTAAACTACTCACAACTCATCGAAGAGGCCTTGGAGATGATGTATAGGCCCTCCATGATTGATTCCCGCTCCGGCGGAGCGCCGGCGAAGGCTCCAAGATGGGATCTCGCGGATACAGAAGGTTACGGCGATGGAAATAGTTTTTCGTGGTCGCTTCTGATGTTTTCGGGGTACATGGGTATATATAGAAGGAAGAAGTAGGTCGGTGGACGCCCAAGGTGCCCACAAGGGTGGGGGCGCCCAGCCCTAGGGGGGGCGTGGGGCACCCTCGTGGCCGCCTCCTTTGTTTCTTGACTTCCACTCCAAGTCCTCTGAATCATGTTTGTTCCAAAAAGATCGCTCCCGAAGGTTTCATTCCGTTTGGACTCCGTTTGATATTCTTTTTCTTTGAAACACTGAAATAGGCAAAAAAAAAAAACAATTCGAGTTGGGCCTCCGGTTAGTAGGTTAGTCCTAAAAATGATATAAAAGTGTAAAGTAAAGCCCGTAAACATCCAAAACGGGTAATATAATAGCATGGAACAATCAAAAATTATAGATACGTTGGAGACGTATCAAGCGCCGGCGGCGTCCCGGTCCCGCCGGTGCCCGAAGGGGCGGCACGGCGGGCGGAGATCGCCCACATCCGCTCCTCGTCGACGAAGGAGCAGCGGAACGAGCCGAGGTACGTGCCCGACAGCGAAACGCTGTGGACGCTGTACTTCCAGCGCCGCCGCGAGGAGCAGATCGCCTCCGTCAATGGCATCATCCCCCGCGGCCGCCTCAACTCCGAAGGACGGCGCGAGTGGTGGGGCATCCCCGGCCGCACACTTGACGCCGTCCTCGACCACATCGAGACCGGCAATGTGCCGCGGCTGGAGTACCCTACGCGACCCTCCTTCTCTCGCCGCCGCGGCAGTTCCTGGATGCCGCGGCGAATGGAGCCGGGGTCGTCCTCGTCGTCGGGCTCCGGCTTGCCGGCCCTCCGCCCCGTCAAGCCCGAGCCGGAGGAGACACCGCTCGGGCGTCGCGCTCGCAACGGCGCCCTCGTCATCAACGAGCCCTTGCCTGCGACGGCACCGACGAGACGCTCCGTCCGCCTGGTCCGGCCGAACCCCGAGCCGGACATGCTCTCCATGAAGCCGGAGCACGCCGGCATGGTGACCCTCGACGACGAGTCCGCCCTCAAATGGGCGAGGGAGGATTACGTCCGCGAGCAGGTGCGCCGCCAGCGTCGGGCATACCTGGAGACCCAGGCCCGTAGCCGCGCCGAGGAGCGTCGCCGCGTCGCCGAGTAGGCGGCGTTATCATCATCGACAACGACAACGAGGGCGAGGCCGGGCCGTCAAGCGCTGTCGGCGACCCCGGCGAGGGATGCAGCAGGGACGTCGCAGGTGAGGCGCGCGACGACGACGGCGGCGGCGGCGGCGACTACACCCGCTTCTACATGCTTCTCGACATGTAGACGGCGGCAGCGGCGACGGTGGCGGCAGCGTCTAGGCTATTTAGTTAGTTTTGAAGTTAGTTCATGCATATTTTTAAGTTTTTGTATAAATTTCGACAAAAAATGGCTGAGTTCATGCAAAAATCACCGAGTTTGCAAAAAAATTGAAACGAACTTCGCCGAACCCGCGGCGACCGTGGGCACGTGACTGGGAGCGAACCGAACCCCAGGGAACGATCTAGCGCCGGTTCGCCCCTAGGCCGCTCTTTTTTGGCGCCCTGGCGGCGAACGGCTGGAGATGCTCTAATAACTTAGACTAGTGTCATATGCATGACACTAGTATAAGTAACATAGACCAGCCTAAGCCCGGACTAATGGACGCAAGGCCCTCCGCCGATCTCGAGACGACCGATTCACATCCAACGATTAGAGTTCGGCGAGAAGTACAAAAGCTGTTTGTTTTAAAAAAAACGAAGTACGTAAGTTAATGAGGAGCATGCGTGACGGAATTCAATACAAGTTCGGTTTATAACTCCTTTGCACAGAACGAACCGGCGAAACCGTGTGGCCTATAGAGTTGTGCACGCAATACAACTAGACCCCAAGGGGTACGGCATAAGATTCCCCACAGGAAAGGTCCTCTTAAATAGCCGCGACACGCCACCCACCACCAAACCCTACCCCGCGACTTCCCTCCGGTTGCTTCCGCCGAGCGACTTCCAATCCAGTCTCCCCTCGATTCCGCCGGCCCGATCGCCTCGATCAATCTCGTCCCAGGCTGCGCCCTTCCGTCGGTGAGCCCCTCCATCTTTTTTCCCCAAAAGATCCGGCCAAATTTCGGAGAATTTGGGGTTCATCGTCCGCTCGGTTTCTTGTCGTTTTATTAGCCTCGGTCGATTTGATCGGTAGATTGTTTCGATCGATCGCAGGTTGGAGATGGCCAAGACTTGCTTCAAGACCGAGCACCCCCTGGGTTTGCTCCTTCTCCCTTGCCCCTCACCCTGTTAGTTTCTTTCAATTTAGGCTCTGACATGGTTTTTCGTCTGATCGATAGTATAAGAGGGTGGTATTCCACTAGATTTATTTAAACTTGTCAGACGAGTTGTTCGACTGAAACTAGTTTAGCCTTTTTGTTACGTGACGTGATAATATGGTTATAGTTGATTTGCTTCCGTGCTCAGGCAACGTGCTAATATGTGTTATTCCGGGAATTATTTCTTGTCCCATATGCCGTTGTTACATTATTGAGGGCAGATGGTTGTCGGCGTGTTTCAGATTGATATTCCATTGAAGCACCATCTACACTAATATTAGTTCATATATATTACATCAAAAGGATTAAAATCAAGTAGACTTGGTTTATCAATTCAGTAGTCTCTGTTTTTCAGATTGAGTTGTATTCTTATTGAATGGTGCTGCAAAGATAACTTCGATGGTCTTAGATGATTTCGTTTGATATTAAATTGGTTTATCATCTTGCAATAGAGTTTACTTCTGAGACTATATCTTAATTCATATTCCTGAATGCCTTGCTTTCTGGATGCTTTTGTACAATTCTTGTTAGATCAGGTTCATAAGATTCTGTTTTACTAGTTAAGTAACCAGCAATTATGTGATCCTTTGGCGCCTTCTGTCTTATTGGTGTGATTGAATATATTATTTGGCTTCTCCTATGGATTGCCAAAAGTATTCCCCTGTTTTTGAGCGGACCTTAGGTTTAAGAAATATTTTACAAATGTTCTCAAGTATTTCTTTTGTTAATGATGTACTATCTTGAGTGTGTTCCGTTTTGCACTGGTTGATGCTTATGTTATATGCACAGTTACTGTCTCCACTAAAAACTCTAATGAGAACATGTTCAAGCTTTAAATGTTCTTCCAGTGTCAAGTTATTTTCATCTTATGTGATTAAAATTACCCTTTTAGATGATTTTGTTTGATATTAAATTGGTTTATCATCCTGCAATAGAGTTTACTTCTGAGACTATCTTTATTCATATTCCTGAATGCCTTGCTTTCTGGATGCTTTTGTATAATTCTTGTTAGATCAGATTCATAAGATTCTGTTTTACTAGTTAGGTAACCAGCAATGTTGTGATCGTTTGGTGCCTTCTGTCTTACTGGTGCGATTGAATATATCGTTTGGCTTCTCCTATGGATTGCCAAAAGTATTCCCCCGTTTTTGAACGGACCTTAGGTTTAAGAGATATTTTACAAATGGTCTCAAGTATTTCTTTTGGTTCCGTTTTGCACTGCTTTAAATGTTCTTCCAGTGTCAAGTTATTTTCATCTCATGTGATTAAAATTACCTTTTTATAGAAAGGAGGCAAGCTGAATCTGCTAGGATCCGTGAGAAGTATGCTGACAGAATTCCGGTATATATATCTCTGGACTTACCTTCTACATGTGGTAGATTATCAACATTCATTTCTCCTAATTGAGTTCTGTGGTCATTTCAGGTGATCGTTGAGAAGGCTGATAAGTCTGATGTCCCGGAAATTGATAAGAAGAAGTAAGCTATTCTTCTTCATCACTCGTATTCTGATTGCAGATGAGCAGTTCTTTTCATTGCTTTCTGGGGTTGAGCTCTGCTCTCAGCTGCATCTAGAGACGCAATCTTTAACTTGCCAATATTTCATTTCCATTTGTCTTGTATGCCCATAACAATTTGTTATGTTTGGATGTGCTCTCTTCGATATAATTGTTGGCTATTTGTTCTATTGTTAATTTAATAACTTGGTCTTGAAATAATTTTCTTGTCTGCTGCTCATGTTTGGAATCTGTATTATTGATTTATTGTCTTGCTCTGTTTGCAGGTACCTTGTCCCTGCCGACCTCACTGTTGGCCAGTTTGTCTACGTGGTGCGGAAGAGGATCAAGCTGAGCCCAGAAAAGGCCATCTTCGTCTTTGTGAATAGCACCTTGCCACCGACTGGTAATGTTTATAAATAAACATATTAATAAATACTTTGTTATTGGTCATATGTTCTGCCCACAATCCTCATCTATCGATGTTCCTTTTTTGGCAGCTTCGTTGATGTCAGCGATCTATGAAGAAAACAAGGACGAGGACGGCTTCCTGTACATGACTTACAGTGGCGAGAACACTTTCGGCTCTGCCTAATCCATGTGCGCTGCCACTGTAAATAAATGAATGGATGTTCAGGTTGCGACGTCTGTGTACATACTATCACTAGTATGCTGGTGGATTGCTCTCATGGTTTAATGCTTTAAGTGTGGTATTTTATCATCTGAATGTTAGAACGGCCTGTAAAACTCTATCTATTACTATAAAGGGTCGAAGATTTATCAATTCTCGTCTGGTTTATGTTCCTCATGCTCTGGGATGATTTCAATCGCAAATTAGTGGCAGCAGAACCGTCTGGGGCTGTCCTTTTTGTTTGAGAACTGCCCTTTTAGGGCATCTCTAGCCAATCCCTAAAAACAGCCTCCCTGAGGATTACACTTACACCTGCTCGCCCGACCAGCCCCAGCTGCGTCCTCCGCCCCTCTTTCTGCCTCATGGCGTCGGTGACGTACCTGCCCACAGGCATGGACAGCATGATGTGCTCCTCGCGGAGTTGTGCCTCTTGCGCAGGGTGAGGCGCTGCTGCGATGGAAGCGGTTGCACAGGCGTCTTGGAGACGTGGAAGGAGTCGGACGTGAGCCTGTCTTCGCTCCTACGGGCGCGAGGCCGAGCTGCGTGTGGCGCCGGGCAGATACAGAAAATTTTAGAGATTGCTAAGAAACCGTGGAGGCCCATAGTAAGTGTTTGATGAAGTGCAGGCGCATAGTAAGTGTTCGACAAAATGCATAAGCTAAATTTTCTTTTACTTCATTAACTTCAGGGGATCGGCTAGACACGACAAAACTTAAAAATATCACTAAGGTTTACTCGACGTTTACTCTGCTAAAATTTAGAGAATCGACTACAAACAACAAAATTTAGAGTAAAAACACTTCACTAGGGTTTACTCGACATTTACTCTTCTAAAATTTAGGGGATTGATTAGGGATGGTCTAAGCCTGTAAACGTAAAAGAGGACCTTTTCTGATGTGAAATGCATGGAGTGTGTTTTCTATCTGAGCACGCTTGGCGTTGGTTATCATTCCTTGTTCGAAATTATACGTGATGATCGCTGCTACCCATAATGATGCATTGATGTGGTGTGCCCACCCAAACATGTTTTTGATCTTGTTCACGTCTCTACTACTACTAGTTTGCCCTTGTGCAGCAATATATGCTCAACTGTAAACGGGAAAGCAAACTTCTGGTCCACTATACCACCAGTTTATACTATGCCCAACTGCAAACGAAACCAGAGATGGTATCCGTGCGGTGCTTGCGAAAATTGTTTGCAATTATTTCAACTAGGACGGCCGTGCATCCAGTGGTTGGCTTCGACCCACGTTCTACCTCGCACGTTGTTGAGGAAATATTTTACGATATTTAGTTGTATGAAACATGGATATTTAGAATAATGTAAAAATAAAACTGAAAATATATACTCCCTCCATTCCATAATGTGATGCATATAGTTTTTTTGAAAAGTCAAACCTCACAAACTTTGACCAAGTTTGTGGAGAAAAGCATTTACATTTAGGATGATAAATCTATATCATTAGATTCATCGTAAGATGTAATTTTATATTTTATATTTTTAGTATCGTAGATATAAATAGTTTTCTCTATAAACTTGGTCAAAGTTTAGAAAGCATGACTTTAAAAAAAATCTATATGCACTATATTATGAAACGGAGGTAGTATGATTTATTGTGTTTGATCATTGTATAATTGTACAATATATTTATTAAATATATATAGAACAATATAATAAAAATTCTCATGCATGTTTGCATGTTGATATGAGCTTTTTCAATATGCATGGTTGCATGTTGAGGTGGTCCTCTCTCTTGCATATTGTATGTTGAGGTAGCATGCTTGCATGTTAATAGAAAATTTATTGAACGTGAGTACCATGTATGGTGCATGTTAAAGCAGGTCTTTTTCGGTGCATGTGGTGTGATGACTTGACATAGGTGCATGTGAGAGTGGGGATCAACTATTTAGGTATACTAGTAAGGTAGTCGTGCATTGCACATGGTAGCTTAGACAATGAAAGTATGAATGAATATTACCGTACCAAATTATAACATGTAAATTTTGTGTCATATATACATAACGTAGATGTTGATTTTATTCTTGTAATTCACCCCATTAAAATTAAATTATAGGTACAACATATTCAAAGATCGCATGGTTATAGAACTGCATGAAACTTTTGTGAGTTATACTAACACGTTTTCTTTAGGTATCTTGTATTGCAATTTCGAGTAGCAAGTATTGCATCATCAAAGACAAATATAATTTATAAACATGTTATCATAGCCTTCAAAAAATCATAAACTAAGTGAATGCAAATTCTATAGAAGAAAAAACATAGAGTAAATAAAATAAGGAAGAGTGTAGAACAAATGAGAAGTGCATGTGATGTGCTTGTCCTATTATGCATTATAAATCTTAAAGTAAAAAAATAATGATAATTCACTTAGAAGAAAAAAGTTTAAGAAAATAAAATATGAAAGATTTTAGGATGAAGGGGAAGGGCTTGTGTTTTGGGATTTGTGCATATTGTGCATTCATTGTAAATCCTAAAGTAAAGAATGAAAATTAATTAGACGAAACAACTTTGGGGAATTAAATTATGAGAAATTCTAGAACAAAGAAGTGCTTGTGTTTTGAGGTTTGTGCATTGCGCTTGCTCAACCATGGAACCTTCTAGATAATACATGTGAGAATCTAGTGGGAGTGGAGATGATATCCAAGGATCAATAATGCACGGATTTGACACACATATACCATAAGATTGCCTTTATCCAAGGGTCCATATTTAAAGTTATTTATACACTTTATAGTGGTATAGATATCAATAAGATACCACGTATGTCAATTTGAATCACCATATGTGTACATGTATGTATAGTTGGAGGCTTAGATGGAAAAAAATCGGTCATCCTTTTTTTACACTCAAAGCACATCTTTATTCATTTGAAATATGTTGCATCATGCACTAAAAAGCGGTACTAGAGAGGGTGGAGGATCATCTAACCAAGTACAAGGATGTTGATACTTTGCCAATCTCGCCAACTCATGGGCAACCACATTAGGTTCGCGATTCTCATGAACAAAATTTACCTTAGCAAATTCTCTAGAAAGGGAAATCAGTGAAAAGAAAACCTTAGCTACATTACTCGTTGCATGAACTTCATCATTCACGGTGTTTATAACTTCCATGTTATTTGAGCTGATAAGCAAGGTGATTGCATCCCATTGTGTCAGCTAGCATAAGTCCTTCCTGACGTGTTAAGGCTTCAGGCGAAAGAAAATAAAAAATAGCAGGGATACTATAATTATTGGTAGCAATAAATCTCCCTTTAATGTCTCTAATGGCAACACTAATGACCCCCTTATGATTATCTCCGTAAAAAGATGCATCCACATTCACCTTCACAAACTCCTTCAGAGGTGGTTCCCATCGCTCTTCCCTTTCCATCTGATGTGTGATTGAGGCCTCCATGAAGTTTGCTGCAAGAGATGCTTGTCTTGGGCCTGCTCTAGTTTTGGTGCTGCTAACTAAGGGTTGAATTTCGTGACTTGATGAAGAGGAAGCCGAGTATCTTTGGTCTTGAAGATAGCCATTGCTGACTTCTCGGGGTTTTGTGCCTGATCATCTTGACACTGTAATATGCGTTGAGGGTGGATTTGCAATCGAGGCAAAAAAAAGTCAGGCCGACTTGTATGTTAAGGGTGGATTACATACTGCAGAAAAAAAATTCAAAATCAGTTGCAATACAGAAGAAACATCGAGTCCGGCTGCGAGTCGAGGATGGACTTGAAACTGGAGACAAAATAAAGGGTTGAGCTTAGTTGCAGGTTAATAGTGGACGTGCAACTAAGACGGAAAAAATGCATGGTCCCGATTGTGTATGGTCTTGTTCTTAATTGCTTGAGAGAACACATATATCCCCCTTTTATTGTTAAGCTTCCACAAGCCTTCCCATGCTCGCTAATTGAACCATCCGTCTTCATCAAGTTGAGGGTGGTGTTGCAACTCGGGAGAAAAAAAGTCGCACGAAAAAAGGTGTTAGCTCTAATGGAAGACAAAGGGAAAATATAGAGAGAGAAAGAGGAATGAGGAGGCAAAGCAGCTGTAGAATGAAGATGATAAAAGAGACAATAAAGAGAGTTCCCTGTCTTTCCTCTTCTACAAAGCATGCCAATAACAAAATGACAAAATAAGCATGAAAATAGCTAGGAAAAAATAAAACAGAGGCCATACATAACATGGGCCTAACAAATATGAGCTGACAACTGAATATCGCGACGACGCGGGACGCATGATCGGGGGGCGCGCGACAAAAACAAAGCGGGATCAAGTTTGTGCAAAGATTACATCAAATAGATCAAATGAACCACAACTTAAATGACACATAGTTAAATTTCATCTAGATAAGATTTAGCATATCCGATTTTAAAACGTTCAAATCTTTTTTAAGTGTTTATATATTTAAAAAATTCACAAATTTAAAAAATACATCATAAATTTTAATAAATGTGCGCATACTTCAAAAAGTGTCCACATGCTAAAAATATCATGAATTGAAAAATGAGAAAAAGAAAAAAAAAGAAATCAATACAAAATTCTCCAAAAAAAATCCCAGGAAAAGAATTCTCCCAAAAAAAGGAGAAGAAATGGGCAGTCAAAAACACGACGTTGTCAAACAAACATCTACAAAAAAAGAAAAAAATGAAGCAAGAAATAAAGGGAAAAGATAAGTTCAAGGGGTAATACGTTTCTCTCACTCTCACTCCTTTTATTCTCTCTCATCTCATACAATTATTTTAGGGACAAAATCGATCATACCCAGTGTGGGGGACAATCGACGCGGGACAACAACACGCAACAACGCGGAACCAACCTGTTGTTGTATGCAGGAGGACAGTGGTATACTCATCCTGCCAAAGTTCAAGTCCTAAACTTGACATTGGTGCTCGCATTTTCCTGGATTTATTTCAGGCCTTCGGACGATGTGCATTCAGTGGGAGAAGACGTTCCATCGACC